CCCTTTTCTTTTTGGTCAACCGGGTGTCTGACACATGCAGAAACCCATCAGTCCCTCAGACCCCAACCATCGAGTCAGGAGGTAGTGGGTTCAAGCCCCACGTTAGGCCTTTGAGCTCGCTTGAGCCTGACCCCATCAGGGCTTGGGCTTGAAGGGTTAACAGGAGCTTGTGGAGTCCTGTGGCTCAGTGGTTAAGACAAGTGAGAGACCTGGGTTCGATGCCTGGCAGGGCAAAACATTGGGCAAGTCTTCTTACTCCACCCGCCTGATAATAATCCCTGTAAAAGAAAAAAAAAAAAAATCCCCCAAAATCCCTACGATAAATTGGTCATTTCAATCCACGGCTGTTTTATGGGGACGCTGCTGTGAGCAATTGGCTGCTCGTTTCGCCCACACATATACAGTCAAGTCACTTTACAGTCTATTCTGTGAAGCGCTTTGAGACGAGAAGACGTGAAAAGCTCGATATCAAATGCGAGGATTATTATTATTATTATTATCTTGCCTGGGTAGACAGACACTCCCGGGCCGCGCTGGGATGAGTGCTTTGGGTGACATTATAAACAAGAGATCCTATCTTTCTGTTTCGGTGGAAAGATCCTGTGACACCATTGTAAAAAAAGCCGTTCAACTTAAGATTTTACAAAGATTATTATGCTTTTATTACATAGTTTGGGGCAGGACATGACAAGGATGGTGGAAGGCAAATTGAAGGGGCCTTAGTCTTCTTTTGCCTAGCAAATTATTTACGTTCATATGCTGTCACATTGGCCTAGAAAATGTTATCGTGACATCTTGGTTGCCAGTAAGTGCCTGCAACTGTAATTGCTTGCTAACACTTTCCTGTATTTCCAGTTTCTTTTGGGGGAAAAAAGGCAACTGAGAACCTGGCACACATTATCCCGCTTAACCAGCCACGTACGCGTACACTTGGAAATTTCCCGCCGGAACGCAATGCTCACGCTCGCCGGAGGGACGCACACCGTGCTACCTAATCTCCGAAGAGTTTTGGGCAAGATTGGCAAGAACCAGGGCTCGAGGACCCAGAGTCTGCATTGCACGTTAACTGCTGGGAGTCGTAACCAGCTAAAAAAAAACAACCACGGCGCTCGCCATCGAGAGCTTTCCCGCTGCTCGTCCAGCTTGGGCCGCCCGACCCGTCAGGACTTTTGGTTTGAAGGGTTAACGGGAGCTGAGTGGGAAGGATTTCCCACCTTCCCCCCATAGAAACAGCAATCTTCTGAACGGAAGGAAGCCGTCATGTCAGTGTCTTTGCGCCCCACTTTTCTAAACCTTTTCATTAAGCCCACCTTCCAGCGCTTTGCCCACATGCCCGAAGGCGATCGCTGCTCAAGAGCTTCTCGGTTCTGCTCCGAACAACTCCATCGACAGCCCCCGAATTCCAAGGAACATCAATGAATTCCACACCGTCCACGTCATCAACAGTCAATTGGAAATGAAACATCCTCTTTTCTGAACTGCTGAACCTCCGATTAACATCTTCATGCACTGTCTGTTGCTCAGTGGTTAGAGCGCTCACCCCCCACACCCCCCCCCCGGAAAAGGCGGGAGGGGGGGAAACCTTTGGTAAATTTCCGAACTCCATTTACCCAGCGAGTAAGTAGGAACCTGGTTGTTAGTCGATTGGCGGATCGCTTTTTCAGGGGGCAATAATCCCTTAAAAAAAAATGCGGTCACTCAATCCACGATTGCTCGTGGGACCCTACTGTGCGCAATTAGCTGCCGCGTCTCTCCCACAAAATATATGGTAAATTCACTTTACAGTATACCGTGTGAAGCGCTTTGAGACGCCTCAAAGACGTGATAAGGGGCTGCATCAACTGCGAGGGTTATTATTGTTATTACAATCTCTAACCAGGCGCGATAGTTATAATGGGAAAAACTTTTACGGTGGTTGCTTTATTGTTCTTTGTGGTCTGCTCGTTTTGGCACCAGCCTTCAAAGCTCCTTCTAGTTCCCTAAATTGAAGTCTCAGGGAGCAACTGATTCAACAGATTGCACGCAACAACTTGGCAACAGGTCCGGTGTAATTGTCCCATGCGTCACTAAACAACACCATTCCTCGTCCAGAAATGTACTCGTTCGGAGCACGCTGGGGTTGAGGAACGTGCACGAATGCGGGAGGCTCGTGTTGTTGTATTGCTCCAATTCTGCCATTGGATGGACGTGAGCTGACTGGCTCGTAAAGGACAGGTGGCCCTCTGGTGATGGAACCTTTCCACTGCAACACCACCACCAGCGAAGATGCTTGTCCTTCACGCTCGGAAAGATAATATTAATAATAATAATAATAATAATAATAATCATCCTTTCATCTGATATAACCCCTCATCAAGTCTTCGAGAGGGGCCTGAAAGCGCTTCGCAGGATGGGCCGTAAAGTAAATTGACTGTACATTTTGTGGGCGCACAGCAGCGTCCGTCCGGCAAACAGTCGTTCGTTGAGTGACCCAGATTATTATTATTTTTGGGGGGGGAAGGGTTATCACTGATTAACAACCAGGTTCCTATTTACCGCTAGGTACGCAGAGACGCGCGGAGTAAAGAAATTTACGCAATGTATGGCCCCGCCCGGGGATCGGACCCAGGTCCTCTCGCTTGCGAGGCGAGCGCTCTAACCACTCAGAGCTACAGGACTCCCACGAGCCCAGGGCCCCCGAGTCTTAATGGAGTCGCTTCTCTTTGGTTGCCAACGATTGCAGGTCACAGCCCAGGGAAAGGGAGGCGGGAGGAGGGGAGGGAAGACTTTAAAGCAGCCTTGTAAGTTAAGGCCACAATTGAGCCTTTCCTGTTTTTCCAAATAAAGCATCCTGCCCTTTTTTTTTTTTGACAACACAAGTACAATTTATTTTAACTGTTGCCGTGCGTTCTCTCGGCCTCCCACCACCGCCTTCACTTTGCCCTTCGCTCCATCCGCACCCAACTTTTACACACTGGCATCCAAGTAGGCTTAGCTTCGGCTTTGGATTCGGATCGGGTCCGTACCCCCCCCCCCCCCGCCACACCAGTTCTAGGCTCCCCATCGCCCGAATGGATCGGTTTCAAACTCCTGTGTGGTCTGGCACCTCCTTACCTCTCCGACCTGCTCACTCCCCAACCCACCACCCACTGCACCTGCTCGACTGGCTCCGGCCTCATGGCTCGAGCTTTCCGTTGCACCATGAGCGGCCGTGCTCTCAAGCCACTGCGCCCCGAAACTCTTAAACATCTACCTCTACCCCTGGGTGACAATCCGGAGACAAAAGTCAGGCCGATTCCCTACTCTGTATCCGCCGAGGCTAATTGCTGCGTTGTACTCATCTCTCTCTCTCCCCCACCCATCGAGCTTGAGATGAGCTAACTCAACACAGACCAACGCTGGACTGCTTTGCTTGGCTTGTCAGCTTTCTGAACACATTTTCAAGGAAAAAAGAGCGCCCGCGAGGCACACTGTGTCCCTGGAGGCTGAAACTGAACACAGGCACACACATTCCCCGGGCACGCACCAAGCTGAGAGCATTCGATGTGTGCCACTTGAACGTTCAGGCTTCTAAATCCCCATCGTCTCCTCTCCTGTACCATCCCGACCACTCCATCCTCACCCGGCTCCACTGGCTCCCCATCCCCACAGAGATCCCCCTCCTCGCCTTCAAAGCCCTCCATGGCCTTGAGAGCTTCAAGCGTGCGTGTGGGTGTACGTGGAGTAAGGAAACTTGCCTAAGGTTATGTCCCGCCCGGGAATCGAACCCAGGTCCTCTCGCTTGCGAGGCAGGTGCTCTAACTACTACGCTGCAGGACTCCATAATGATAGACAATGTTGTCTATCGTTGCACATTTTCTTTCTTTCTTTGCACTCAAAGCTTCAGTCAAGCTATCAATATCCTCAAAACCAAACATGCCAGTGCCAGGGCACACAACAGTCTTCGTTCTGTGCCAAAGACGGTGCCACACGCCACTATTGTTTGGGAACGAGACACTGAAGGAGCTACAAAAAAACCTTCCAACATTTACATAAACTGGTCGATCCGGTCTCCGAAAAAGCTCCGAAATGAAAAACCCCCAATGCTAATCGGTCTGCGCTGCGCCCAGCAGCACACTATTGAGCTGAAAGTGATTTCCCAGCCCTGCACACACGAGATAACATTTTAAGATGTGAGCACACATGCACCCTGCTTGGCAAGCCAGTCATCACCAGACTTGTCCGTGCTTTCAAAACACACTTGCAGTCGCATGCTAAAGCAGATACAGCCCTCACCCACTCACCGAGCTTTGCAGAGCTGGGACACAGCGAGCAGACGAGCAAACGTAATTAAACACAGCACAAACTTAACCTCCGCAAACGGAAGCTTTGGATGGATCTCTTGATCCACACCACCGACTAACCCAACTCTGTGTTATTTGGGTCCTCAATCCAAACAGACAGACCCAGGAGGGGGGGGGGGGGAAAAAAAAGAAAAACCCTCTCCGAATCCGTTCGCGATAATAAAAACAATCCTTTGCATTTGATATGGCGCCTTATCGCGTCTCGAAGCGCTTCACAGAATATACCATAATGTGAATTGACTGTGTACATTGTGGGCGAAACGATTATTAAGAGTGCATGATTATTTTTCGGGGTGGGTGGAGGGGGGGGCAAAGAGGAATAGGAGATGGGTGAACCTTGGCGGATTGTTTTATGCTCTCGGGTACTGGCACACGCTCTGCCAGCCAAGGATGGCGTTTAGCCGGCGAGTCCGTCCGTCTGGACAGAAGGGGCCGCGATTTCAATCCCGCTTTTCGCAAAGGAAGCCATCTGTCAACACAAGCGACATTTGCAGTATTTCTGCTTCCAAAAGAATAATAAAAAAGGACCTTTTTTTGCCCAGACTGTGCCACTCTCCCCACCCCCACCCACCCTCCCTCCCTCCCTCGCACACAAAAAAAAAAACAACCCTCGCGTCCACGTGCCAACCTCAAGCAGAGCCCAACAGTGCAAACAATCCCAAATTGGTTTTTACTCACCATTATCAAATTCATCTGGAATCTGTGGAGAGGAAAAAGAGGGAAAAATGATCAGTTTGTGCAGCCTGTTTACCAGCAGGTTGGGAACACTCAACAGCACCACAACCATTCTCCCAATTAAGAGCGAAATTAATCTCCAAACATATGAATATTCAGATACATCTGTCAGTGGAGCGAGGGAGCAGCTGGTTCTGAAATCACCATGGCTCACGCGGGGTGTACAGCAAAGTCCCAGAGCTCGCACAAACTCCCCTCCGCACATTCGATTCCTAATAAAAAAAGGACTTAAAACTATATCCCGGTCACTGTTTGGTATCTGTCTATCTCCTGGCACTTCCCTCCTTCTCTGACCTGCTTACTCCCCAACCCACTACCCCGTTGCCTCCGCTCAGCTGGCTCCGGCCTCCTGTTTGCCCTCCGTGCCCTCCGTTCCACCATTGGCGTCTACTCTTTCAGCCACTACATCCCGAAACTCTGCAACTCTCTCCCTCTATCCTCCCGCCTTGCCCCTTCCTTCCCCATCTCCAGGTCGCCATCTAAAGACCTTCCTCCTCGACCTCCCGACGCGTAATACATTCTGAATACGAGCAAAACCCACCAGACCTCACCCAGTCACAAGCTCACTGTGTCACTCTTGGCTCACTCTGTACCAATGCGTCAGAGGGTTGTCGGTTTGAGACCTGCAGCAGGACGGGAGCTCATCGTCTTAACAAGGCAACCCCGATATGGGACTGCACTGTAGGAGGTGAAGGCTTTCAGTTGAAATAACAACAACAATCCTTGCATGTGATTTAGCGCTTTGTCACGTCGTTGAGACACCTCAAAGCGCTTCACAGGGTACACCGTAAAGTGCAGCGGCTGCGTATTTTGTGGTCGAAAGGCGGCAGCCAATTGCGCACAACAGCGTCCCCACAAACAGTCGTGGATCGGGGATGCCAACACACAATTCCGCTGAGGCTTGGCTCAGAGGTGCTCTTACGGCTCCACGGAGATAAACTCAGGACAGACCCGTGACCAAACCTTCCCGCAACGCACGGCTCAGCAGATCACGAAAGGATCGACCTGAAGATTGAGCGAACGGCCAAGGTTCCCAACAGATACGAGGTGAACAAGTGAGGTTCACCTTCAACACAACTGTAATCGGTCTCATCGGCGTGATGAGGCGCTATATCAAGGGCAAGGATTATTATGATGATTATTATTCAACGAAAACAGCTTGCATTTACCCTTCATGCGGGGTAGCGTCCCGGAGCGCTTGACAGTGGCAGATTCTGACCCCGAGCCGGGGGGTAGGGGGGAGGTGACCGCAAACCCGATCCTAAAGGAAGGTCTTCAGACGGGATTTGAAAGCGGGGAGGGATGGGGTAAACCGATGGGACTGAGGGAGAGAGTTCCAGAGCTTCGGGGCGTAGCGGCTGAAGGCACGGCCATCGATGGTGGAGCGGAGGGGACGAGGGATGAGCAGGAGGCCGGAGCCAGCCGAGCGGAGGCAGGAGGTGGTGGTGTGGAGGTGTGGGTGGTGGGTGGGGGGTTGCAGGGAAGTGCGAGGGCACGAAGGGACATTCAACTTCAGGCTCCCAACTTCATCGGTAAAGAGAAGTTGTCTCGCTGCCCAAGAAAAGCAAGTGCTTTGTTGCAAAGCCTTACAAACGCGCGGTGAGATTAGCCCAACGTGCCATCTCCCTGCCTAATGCAGCACTCAACTCCCAGCTGAGAAGCCTGAGCTCTTGCCAAAAACCATCTGAATTGAAGGCCGGTGCACGTTCGTTCCCTTCTTAATAGCGCAAACAAAATAATTGGGCTTTTGTATCTTTTTAAACATTGCCTCGGGTCCTCGAACACAAAGCCAGTCTGTTCTGCTCCGCTCCCAAAGACTTGGATAAGGGCCTGAGAGCCTGTGTTCGCCCATTGCGCGGGGAACAAAGACCGTGGCACCTTATTCTGACAGACGCCGTTATAACAGCAAAGCAAATGGTGCCGGGGCGGCGGCGGGGGGGGTGGGGGGGAGCCGTCCGTGTGTGCCATGTTTCGCCCACCAAACACAACAGTCACTACACTTTACGGCACATTCTGTGAAGCGCTTTGAGACGTCTCGAAGACGTGATAAGGCGCTATGTCAAATGCGAGGATTATTATTATCCCCAACAACTTGTCCTGACACAGCGCCTTTCGCGTAGGAGGACGTCTCGAAGAGTTTTATATCGACGGCCCAGCGAGGTGGGAAAGCAACACACGGTTCAAAGCGATCGCCAACCGCAACAAATCACGCTTACACGGCGCCTTTCACGTCGGGAGGACGTCCCAAGTCGTTGGACAGTCGGGGATTTGTACCCGAGCTGGGGATGGTTGGGATCAGGAGGTGAGGGGGGCAGAGAGGGTAGGGGTAGGAGGATGACCGAAGGCGCGGTCAAAGAGGAGAGTCTTGAGACGGGCCACGAAGGAGGAAAGGAACTGGAGTGAGGTGAAGGGACTGTGGGATGGATGGAGTTCCAAAGGTTGGGAGTTGGAAGGTCCCAACCGCTGATGGTGGGGTGGGCGGGGGAACGCGGATCAGGCCGGAGGTTGCTGAGCGGAGGGAGCGGACAGGTCTATAGGGCCAACCAACACATCTGCTGCACTGGGAAACCCTGGGAGGCCAGTGCCTCAGTTTATTCACTGCGGGACTAGCTGGAGGTTTCTCACGTGGGACAGGCTTGGCATTTTCCCATGGAAGCATTGGCAAGATCCCAGGGGTGTGGTTTATTTCTAAAAAAAAATGAGCAGCAAAAGCTCCTTCAGCCAACGACTATAAGAATGATCACAATAATCCTTGCAATAATCATAATAATCCTTGCATCCTCGCTTACGTGATAAGCTCCTTACCGCGTCTTTGAGACGTCTCAAAGCGCTTCACGGAATACACTGTAAAGTGCAGTGACTGTGTGTTTTGTGGGCAAAACGCGCAGGAGGGTAAAGATCTCCAACGCTGCCAACACCCCATTCCAATGACTCATTAGACAAATGCTACACCACATTTCCCTGCAGACCAGAGGCCTGAAATTCCACCTAGTCTCGTAAGACTATTTTATCTTAATATTTAACACGATACTGAATTTCCACGAGGCATAATCCGAAGGCCTAACTGCGACAACTGCTGCGTTTGATCCAACGCCTCATCGCGTCATCGAGACGTCTCAAAGCGCTTTGCGGGACACACGGGACGTAGAGTGCACTGAATGTATATTTTGTGGGCGAAAGTGTACATTCCGTAGAGTGGAGTCCTGTAGTGTAGTGGTTGAAGCGCTCGCCTCGCGAGCAAGAGGACCTGGGTTAGAGTCCCGGGCCGGGCAAAAGGTTGGGCAAGTTTCCTTACTCCACACGCAGCCGAATGCGCACATCCCACAGTATCTGAGCTGGTGCTTGCTCACCCTCTCTGCATGTCCCATTTACCAGCTGGTTTAACATGTTGCCTCGCTTTATTTTTTTAATCCAATTGCCTTTAAAACGCAGCTAAATCTACCGGGTAAAACCAGGCCATCTTAAAAACAGCGGGTTGAGTGGCCAGGGCGCAGTAATTGTAACCACCAAAGCTAAATCAATTATTTATCAGCAATGCCCGGGATCCAGTTGCAAATTAGCCTCGTACTAGAGTCTGTCAAGGAGTCTCGCACACAGTGGACTGAACGGACCCCGATCTAAAAGGCAGGGCTGGTTTAGGGCAATAACACCATCGCAATCCGTGTGCAATTGGCCGCCACACGTTTCACCTGCGAAACACACAGTCACTCCACTTCACGGAGTACTCTGCGAAGCGCTTCGAAATGTCTCAAAGACGCGGTAAGGCGCGGTGTCAAATGCAAAGTTTGTTAACATTATTATTATTCATACCAAAGCAACACCACCTTTGAGGCAGGAGAGTTAGTGCACTCCCATTTTTTTGGAAGGATGTAAAAGCAATAATAATCCTTGGATTTGATATGATCACTTCTTCGAGATGTCTCAAAGCCCTTCACAGGGTTTACTGTAAAATGCAGTGACTGTATATTTTGTGAGTAAAACACGGCAGCTGATTGCGCACAGCAGTGCCCCATAAACAGTCATGGATTAAGTGACCGAATTATTATTATTTTATTTTTTTGAAGAGATTATTGCCCCCAATCGACGAACACCTGCGCTCCTACTTACTGGTAGGTAACCGGTAAACTTGCCCAACATTTCGCCCTGCCTGGATATCGAACCCGAGTCCTCTCGCTTGCGAGGCAAGCGCTCTCACCAATACACTACAGGGCTCCAGATAAGCGCAAAAGGCAATGAGAAAGCGTGGCCTGCCAGTGTGTGCAAATCCAGTTTATTTCACAGTGATTCAGGCAGTCTTGTGCTGGCGTACGGGTCTGTAATGTGTTATGTTGGCCAGAGATGCAGTACTTCAGCTCATATTCCCATTGGGCATCCTCTCGTGGTGACAGGCCCAGCAACGATTCCGTTCTTCCCATTAAAAATTAAGCCGTGCATTCATTCGAAAAAAATCTTCCAAGTGTGCGGAAAATGTGGATTTCTCCAGTTGAGAGCAGAGCGGGAAAAGGTCAATTGTCCACCAGAAATGTTGCATGTAGTCCTGTAGCTCAGCGGTTAGTGCGCTCGCCTCGCAAGCGAGACGACCCGGGTTCGATTCCCGAGCAGGGCAAAACATTTGACAAATTTCATTACTCCACACGCCTCTGTTTACCTATCAGCAAGTAAGAACCTGGTTGTTAGTCGATTGGCGGATCGCTTGTGAAAGGGTAATAATCCTCCAAATTTTTTTTTACAACACTAAATTGGACGCTCAATCCACGACCGTTTGTGGGATACTGCTGTACATTCTGTGATAAGGCTCTACATCAAGTGCAAGGGTTATTATTATTACTACCATTATAAATGTGAATTCTAGTGATCTTTGCTACTCACCCGGCTGTCTGGATTTCCAGAGGTTCCTCTGTAAGCTTTGATGCAGGGTGTGTGCGGCCTGTGAACAAGACTTGCCTACTTACAGGAGCAATAGAA